GTGTGGTGCTAAGACTGGCAAGGCTTACTGACGATGCCTTCAAAACGTCTGGGAATGTACCATGTCCACGTTTCGACTCTGGAAATTATCATTCATACTATGTACTCCAGACTAGGTGCGTTCCTCTAGGTCTTCCTACCAGTATGACCAAGTTGCCAAAACAAGGTCACTTCCATTTTGAGTGAAAGTGTTGGGTGACGAGATTCGAAAGTTGGTTCCATCAAAAGACGACTGGGGATTCCTCTTGAAGCAAGGTCAACAATTATGAAACAAGAAAACAAGGTCAAACAACTTCTAAGTAATAAATTTATTCTTTTTGCGCTTAGTATAACGAACTGGGTCTGTGTAGTAAAGCTTTATTCTTCTTTAAAACTTAAGCCTTATTCGATAGTAGCACGTTACCAGAGCTTGCTATAGATTTTGGATAAAATGAGACCGGCCACGTAGGGATATGATTGGTCTGACATCGTTTTCTCAGTTTGGTCTTATTAGGGGGAATTTGAAGAGTCTAGTCTCCAGCATTCTCTGCTATAGTAATCGGGATATTTTTCTGCATTGAATCTTGTTCATCAGGCAGTAAATTACCATGACATGGAACAGGATTCTTGACAAGGCGCTTTCATCGAACTCTTTCAAACAACACAACCACCACTTGCCTATTTACAAAAGAATACCCACTAGCAAATGAATTGAGATGGGCCTTTTTTGCCCTGAGTTGCTGTATCACTAGACTGTTTTCCAAACGAATGCTTCAGATGAAGATATATCTCAATACTTAATTGGATTGTCCTATTTATTTGTCTGTATACACCTGCATGCATGCACACACTTTTATACGTTAACAGGGAAAGTCAGTGCAGATTGGGCTGACGAAATGGACGCTCGACTGAATGCAGCATTGCAGATAGCTCGCAGTCGTGGCTTCGTCAAAGAAGGCGATCAAATCGTGATTGTGACTGGCTGGGCATCCGGACACAGCTCCACAAATACGGTACGCGTCCATCAAGTTCCAAAAGCTGAAACCAAGTTACAGGTGGTGTGCTCCTCGTCTTGTCTGACCAGTCGCTAGGCGTCTGATAGCTGCTGCTCCCATTTTATCTAATCCTCTATTGCCTTCTTTCGTCTTTCTTCACATCGATATCAGCTGCAATGTTTTTCTTTTCGCTTATTTTCTCAATTATAGCATCCCTCCGGTGCAATTTTTTCAACTAGTCTTATGAGTGTATTTACCTCTCGACTAGTCTATGCCTTTGCAAAATACTGTTCTTTTCAATCTACTTTTTGAAACTCCCATTCTTGTTTATCAATCACCGTCGCGCCTCTTTTTACTTTATAACTTCCCAACAACCATCATTTTTACAGAATCATGTCTTTACAAAATGCAGTGAAATTTTTCTATTTACTTTTACTTCTCAGATCTTTATATTCTTAATATGCAACGAATATTCCGTATTGTAGAATAACTGGGTTTCGAAGAATCCTTTAATAGAATCATGCTGGAATACCTTTCATTTGGTTTGAGGAGGCGAGTTGAAGGGATTCTTAAGTTGGTTCAACTGGAGACTGTGGGGGTTGCTTTGGAACTGTGGTTGTAGATTTGTGCGAATAGGTCCTCGGCGCACCTCCCTGCGACCCCGATGATGAGCTTTCGTTCGCCATGTGACGGACATCACCAGAGCAGGACATCGTGGTTAGCGGTAATTCACCAAAACATGGAGACAAGAAAGGTTGCTGGCTTCAAACCTACTTCCATATATTCAAATTTGGTCCACTTATGTATCTCATGTTTGGTTGGATGTCCTATGCTTTGCCTCTATATTTGCTCATAAGTTGAGGTAAGTGGCTGCGGATGACATGTGAAGTGGTTACAGATGAAGAGGGAAATGGGTGCAGTTGAAACCGAACAGCTGCATCCTCTAAAACACTTATGCCTTTGATCCTGAAATGTTAGTGCATGTGAGGTCATTGCTCGTGAAATGAGTGTGATATGATAGCCAAAACTAAATTCTAGCCCCAATCGAGCCTCTTCTTGTTCACTGGTACTTCTCGTTTCCATCCCTCTCTAAACCTATCCAACAGCCACGAGTAGTTTCCATTAAACTTCGAACACTCATTCCTTCTATTCAGGGTGTTTGCTGTTTTGTTGATTTCTATCGCCTCCCTAGTCTTTCGCTTACTGGTATAGTCTCCATATCCACCTAAGCGTTTGAGATTAGACTAATTTATCTAGTGTCCTGTCTGAGCCATGTGTTCGGCAAATTCCGATTTTTGGACCCACGTTTTTACGTAGCGTCCTTCCTGGGTTTTGTGTTATTGATACGTCAAATCTTCTAAATAGATCTAAGCGAGTCCTTCAGAGGGCATCCTATGATTTAGTTTATATTATTACCCGTGAAAACATTACAAAATTATACTTCTTGATAAGGAGGAAAATCAGTTTATGCCAATCATTGTCAAGTACTTGGCTCGAATGATTTCTATAAATTTCCAAGAATGGCAGACAGGTTGTATCATATTGTTCTTAAACAGGTTAGGATTAGACATGATAAGAAATTTTGGAATTTGAGTATAGGAATCAAGACAGGATTATCATAATACATCTATGAGACATTTGTGAGCAAAGGATAGTTAAGGAGGGGGTAGATCTCTCCAAAACATCCCTTGATTAAACCACCGAGAAACGATCAAAGGCGTAAGTATTTCAGGGAAGGATGCAGTTGTTCGGTTTCAATTGCACCCATTTCACGCTTCATCTATAGCCACTTAACACGTGATCCGCAGCCAGTTAACTTGTGAGCAAATATAGAGGCAAAGCATAGGGCATCCAACCAAACATGAGATGCATACGTGGGCTAACTTGGAATATAAGGAGGCAGATTTGAAGCCGGCCACCTTTCTTGCCTTCGCATTTTTATGAATTACCGTCAAGCATGGTGTTTTGCTCTGACGATTTATGTCTTTCGTCGGGCGAAATCTCAGCAAGGATTCCTTGGGGTCAGGGCGATGCGCTGAGGATCTCCCCACAGCCTCCGATGGAACCAACTTACGAATCCCTTCTTCTTGCCTCTTCAAACGAAATGAAAGGCCACCTATGATAACTGTTCATTATCGGTTAACTGAAGAGACCTATTCGCTCCATCATCCTTAGTTATTACTCCATTATTTAATTTTATTTTTAAGTGGTTGGCCCGAATTTGTGTCTCGATGTTCATTATCTATTTTGTATAGTATTCTCAAGATGTCGATAGCTTTCACTGACGTTTTTGGTTTTTAGGCTTGATTTTTCTGTAAGTTCAACTAGGCTGGTGCCCTATCATCAATAATTTTAATTATATTTTGGGAGAATCTCTATAGCTAATGTATAAATTTATCCAATGGCCGATTTTCTCGCACGTATCTTATTTTCTTTGTTATTTATGATATACCTCATTACTTGCTGCTCACAATGAGAACATTAACCATTAGCATAAAGAGTTCTCTTAAATGTCCACATGTATTGATTCTAACCTGCTTACTTAGCCACATAAGCTTTAGACTCGTGGTATGAACAAGACAGTGAAGTGTTTTACAAAGTTTATTCGGTTACGTATAATTACTTTGGCACTTAACTTCTTAGCATAGTTCGTTGAGGTATGTCTGACATTTATCAGGCGTGCTTTCTCAGCTGCTTTTAGCTCGTTGTTTTGTTGCTTAGCGTGTGCTTTTGTTGCTCGCCTGTATGAGTTGGTCGATTATATTCAGTGAAAATTTTCGTTAACTAACCAGGAGAAAGCCGTGCTTCGCCTTTCTGAATATCTATTCGATCTGATTTCGAGAGGTCTTGTTGCTAACATTTTTAATTTCATGGTTAATTAATGAATGGCCAAATGTCACTGCGGAAAAAAATCGTTTTTTGAAAATTTATGTTTTTTCCTCAGGGACGCTCTGTATGTCTTTTATTTGAATGAGGCATTTCGGTTATTGGAACTCTCGTGAATATAATGCTTTTTATTAACCTGTGTTTGTGGCGCTGTCGTGTATGTGTTTATTACTCGTCCCGACTTAAGGTGCTTTAGTAGTTGTGTGACCTTGTTTTCGCAACTTGATCGTATTGGAAGGAAGGCCTAAAGGAACCCACCTAGTCCGGAGTCCATAATATGCATGATAATTTCCAGAGTCGGACTGCAAATTTGGTACATTCCCAGACGTTTCGCTGGCATCATCACTAAGCCTTGCCAGTCTTAGCACCACACTACAACTCGTCAAGAAGACAACTATAGCCCATCTGACCATTTGTCTGCTAAATTGAGGTATCTCTCCCTATGCCCTGGGTTATTCACCTATCCTATATCCTCGTTCCATCCCTTAACTATCATTTCCTCAATTGCATATTTAAATGTGTTATGGTGTGCCCTTTTGAGCGGATTTCATGAGACCTCTTCACACCCCACCCCTTTACCATTGTGCTGGGAATGTTGATGTGCCATATTATTCCGCAATCCTATTCCCATATGTTTTATCAGTCTCTCGCCCTTTATGATCTGCCTTCTATCTCCCTGGTTCAGCTATACCACTCGACCCCTGTCACTCTTTCAGTGCTATCCAGGCGTTATTTCCACACTCTCCCGAGCCTTTGATGGCACTTATACTCCCACCTCGCTGAGTAGGCCCTTAAAATCAGGATTCTCAAGCCTGATGGGCGACTTACCCGAGGCTATAGATCCCGAGTAGTTCTCATCGTCAAACCTTTGTTCAAACCCGTCTACTGTTAGCTAATTAGCTCTGGTCTTCGCCCCATTTATCTTGCTTCTATCCATAATGCCAATCCTATGATTTCCTATGCCCTACTCTCTTGTGCCAACCCACAAGTTATGCGGTTCTACTTATTTTGATTAGGCTTATTGTGTGCGTCTCCTGATTTCCGATGGTTCCTTTCTAGTCTTATTGCGATTTCTTTTCAAGAAATTCAAATTTTGACCTTAATTCAGTCTTCTTTTTGCTGATCTTCCTGCTGGCCGACTTGTCTGAGTTCGCTTAGGTTATGCGCAAAGTTTTTGCTGATCCTCCTTTCTTTCATTACATTTCTTTCCGTCAAGATATCGATGGCTTCTCAAATCTTGAGTTTTCTTGTATTTTCACCATATGGAATCAGCCTTTGTCGATTTCTTGTCCCGTCCCTGCAGTGTTTCGCTATTCCGGATCTTTGTGTATACATACTTTACCGAGTCTTGGATGTTACTTTATTGGTAACATCAAAGTCTGTCTCACCAATATACTTCTCACAGTTTCCGCATTTGATGTGATGAACTCTCGAGCAATCCCGTTCGTCAGTCTTCTCATGTTGCCTCAACAGACTGGTGTAAAGTGTTGTCTTCGCCTTTGTTATTATTCTTGATTTTCAATTCTCTTAGTAACGGTCGCAAGTTTTGTCTCATTTCACATGAAGGCAGGCACGTCCACTTTTGGTCATCCTGATTCTTGATCGAGTTTTCATAAGATCCTAGTTAAAATCTGCTCTATGACACATTTCTTTTTATAGATTCTCTAAGGCAGATCCGAGTCAGTTTGTCCAACTTATCGTCCCAGAACTCAGTGTCTTTTAATCTTAAGCTTCTGATGATGAAATTCCTCAATATTCCCCATCCTGATGATGATTGAGGATTATTCCCGCATATCAATTTTTCTGAATTGTCTCATTAGTATCCCGTTGCAGTGCATGACTTCAATACCCAGGACGGGTAGCCGTTCATCCTCCACCATTGTAAATTTATTTCATTCATCAAAATGGTTGATAAAATCTAGGAATTCATTCAAATTTTTCTTACCATGTGGCGAAAGCGCAAAGTAGTCATCCAGTTATCGCATAATCACTTTTAGTTGCAGTGGTAACTTTTCAAATTCCCTTCCCAATTTGTCCATATATGTATTTGCCAAAAGATGTGAGGATATCCTCTCGCTCTAATATCTCCGGCAGGACGTTTACCGCCTTCTCGTCTGAGATCCTTGTGTACATGGATTGTACGACGAAACTTACTAACAGTTCCGTCCCTAACAGCTAAATATTTTGAGTCCTTTTAGAAAATTTATCTG